ACCACGAGAATCCCCCGCCAACCAACCTATCAGACTTGGCAGGAGTAGCGTTCCAAGCCTTCACACAAGAAATCAAGGACGTTGTGGCTGAACACCTAGAGACGGGAGCAGCAGGACCACTACTTATAGACTACCCCAGCAACCTGTCTGGAATGCACCGCCTACGCGAACGAGCTGAGAAGGAAGAGAAGCGCATCAAGCAACTTGTGGGAATTGCAAACAGCGCGGGACGAATCAGACCCAACAGAAGCTACATTCCGGGACGATCTGCACCACCAAGACCAGGAGGAAGAGCCTTCGCAGGATTCCACCAACCAGAATTCCAAGGATTCCAGGGATTCCAAGGATACCAAGGATTCCAGGACGATCGCTCCTTCCAAGCTCCAGAGATCCAGACTGTGGGAACCTTCCACACTGCAATGACGCCCCCTCCAACTATGGCGGCAAAACAAAACGTTCAAGTCACCGACGGCCAAGAGAGACAATTAGTGGTCCCGACATCCGACAGCAAACTATACTGCCCGGAAGCGGTTGTCAACATGCTGGCGTGCATGAGTATTATGGAGGAACTCGGACAACAGCAGGAAGAAGAAAATAGGTGGACAATGCTCAGCCAAGCGGAAGAAGCACTGCAAAAGGCAAGCGGCAAGCCATACCCAATCCACTGTTGGGGATGCAACAAGGAAGGCCACAACTTCCGAGACTGCCCACACAAAGAGGACCCCCAAGTCCTAAAAGAAAAACTGGACCAGTGGAAGCAACGAAAGAACAAAGAACGCAATTGAAATAGAAATAATAATTCCCATTATAGACGAGGAGGATATATGACCCAAGCAATCTGCGATACAGTTCGAGCCATCGAGGATCCACAGACAGAATCGGGGGAGAGGACAAACCTGTTGGTGAATCTCGTCGAAGCGGTCACGGCCCACACTTCCACAGCAGCAGCAAGGAAAAGAACAAAACAGCAGTCAACCCAGCCGGCACTATCATTCGTCACCTTTGGAAGCTTCGCGGCCATGGAACAAGCCCACCAGCTGAACTTCTCGGTCAATGACATGCTGGCATTCTTGAACTTTCCCATCGGACTCAACGAATCCAACACAGCCATTTTAAAAGGACTCTACGACACCGGAGGATGCTGCAACATGGGCAAGAAAGACTACCACCTGGCCATCGCAAAACAACATCCGCACCTCGTCAAACAGATCTTCGACCTACAGAAGATCCGCTACGCTCCAATCAAGATCGGGGGAATCAAAGACAGTGTGGAAATTGACGTCATCATCGAGTACTTCATTCCTTTTGAAAACGGACAGGGAGAGAATCACACTTTGATGATAGGACTGACGGACGACCTTCCGATCAACACACTTTATGGATTACCATTCATCCTAAAAGCCAAGCTGGTAGCTCAGTTCTACCGGAATGCGGTCATTTCCAACTTCTTCAACCAGGAATTTGACCTCACATTGGAATGCCCGAGACTTCTCCCAACGGAACACGTGGAACGGAACCAATCATCGGATCGCAAAGTATTCTCTGTCAGATTTGACACCACAGACGAGAACCTTTGACAAAGACAGGAGAGAACTCCAACAGACTTCCGCCAACGAGCACTGGAAGCAGGATACGACAAACAGATCAGCAGAACGCAAGGGTTCTCTCCCATCGCCCATCCAATGATCACGACCATCAAGGAAGCGGCATATCAAACGTTTGCAGCAACATCAGCAACCGAGGAAGAGGAAATCATTGCCAGACGGGGACAGCTTCCTGACGGGACGAAGCCAGTCAAAGTTCCAAAACGGATTTGGCGAGCGCAAGTGAAAAACGTGTACGAAGAACCGGAGGCGGACTTGGACAGTCCCGCAACCCACGATTGGATGTTCGAAGAACATGGAAAGACGGTAATCAAACAAAAAGCACCAGTGCAGAGGCGTACCTTCATGATAGAATCGAATGCAGACAAACACTTGGAGGAACTCGAGTAACAGGTGCAATACAGAGATTGTCAGAGCGAATGGCAGCCCATATTCGACGCAATCTTGAAGGAATACTGGGACGTCTTTGCCAAAGAAGGGATGCAAAAACACATCCTAGGCTACAAATTCAACATCGACACAGGCACCATTCCTCCCGTGTGCTGCAAGCAACCGAGATACGGACCGCACGAAAGCCGGGTAATGACAAACCTAGTGGAGCAACTAGAGAGCAAAGGACTCATCGAGGACAACTTTGGGCCATGGGGAGCGCAAGTAGTCCTGGCAGCAAAACCAAACCAAGGGCACGTCCACTGGTCCCAATACATCTTCTGATTATGCGTGTCATACCGCAAGCTGAATGCAGTCACGAGACCATTCCACTTCTACATCCTGAGATGTGACGATGCAGTGGATACAGTTGGAGATGCAAAATTTTTTATCACAATGGATTTGGACGCAGGCTACTGGCAGATCAAGATGGCTGCCTCATCAAAAGAGAAAACGGCGTTCTTCGTACCAGATGGCAAGAAGCACTTCCTAGTGATGCCAATGGGGATACTAAGCGCCCACGCATTCTTTGTCTGTGTAACCATTCAATTCAAGAAAGAATGGCACGAGTTGTACAAACGAGACCCAAAGGCAGCACTACAAAAACTACTGGACATCATCAACAAGCACAGAGCGGCCATCACGCTGATCCTGGGCGAAAGCGCCGCCAAGGACATTGAAGCAAAAGTGGCGATCGCTCTATTAGAAACGAACCCAAATGCATCAGTAATTGTCGACGACATCATGCTATTCGACACCAACATCTTATCACTGATCGCATACTTTGTAGCCACACTTGAAATCCTCCAACAATACCGAGTGACCGTCAACCTAAGAAAAACGAGGTTCCTACCAGCACGGGCAGAATTTGTGGGACGTGACCTACTGCCCAATGGAAACACCCCGGCACAATCCAAGTACTCGACGATCGAGAAGCTATGCCCACCAGCATCATACTCGGACATCCAGATGATCAACGGACTATTTGGATGGTACTCCCAATGGATACCACATCTAGAGGAAAAGATCCAACGATGGAGGACCATGGTGATGGACAAACCAAAGTCCGGAGAATGCATAAAAGAAGAGGAAGCAGAACAAGTGAAAGCACAATGGGAGCCGCAGGACGACAAAACGCTGGACGAACTCAAGCAAGCTATTGTCACAGGACCAATATTGAAGAGACCCAATCCAAAGAGACAATTCTACTTGAAAACGGACTGGTCAAGCAACGCCATGGGAGCGGTCCTCCTACAAGCGGACACGACAGAAAAAGCAGAAGAATCAATGAGGAAAGAGATCGAAGGAGGAAAATGCGAGTTCGACAAATCAATGTCAAAACTCAGACTCAGACCCATAGCATTCATATTGAGAATATGCAAGGGCAAAGAGCGCGACTACCATTCCTTCGTAGGAGAAGCAGCAACAGGTCGATGGGCGATGAAGAAGTTCCGACAATGGCTCATCGGAAAAGAATTTACGTGGATCACGGACTGCAGCGGACTAACAAAGTTCTTCGAAGGCGAATACGACATCACACACACACTGCAACGATGGAAACTAGAGCTATTGGCATTCATCTTCACTATAGTTCACCAACCAGCAAAGATGCTCACAGAATGCGACCTCTTGTCAAGATACAAGGGCATACTAAGCATGTGGAGGAATACGGAAGAAGCCCACACAGACAACCTGATCATTGCGGCGGCATGGAAACTCAGAGAAGACAAAGCACCGCCCTGGCCCAGACAGCACCTACTACCTACTGTGAAAGGCGACCGGATTACAACACGAACAGAACTAGTGCAAATATGTGACACAGCAAGAGCAACATGGATCATTGGAAGATCCCTAGACACCATTGTGGACAGCTTCGAACTACTTGTAGGTACCATAATGCTAACAGCTAGCACCAGCGAGGAAGAATATTGGCAGCTACAACACGACATACCAAACATTGAAACGTTTGCCAAAAGGCTGGTCAACAACACAGCATAACCGCCAGTAGAATGGTTGATTGTAACCAACATGGAAAAATACAACTCAACAACCTCGGAGGCCCTTCGCACCATCATCAGAAAAGCAATGACACAGGGAGCAACACAATGCAAACTCATGTGGACAGGAAAGCCACCCGGCAAGATCATCAACGAATGGGAACAATACATCAAAAGAGAAACCAAAGACAGAACCGACCTACAAACCGCGACAAGCACAGCCAGAGGCAGCACAGCACAAGCAGACATAGACACCAAACACACCATCATACTCACAGCCGGGAGAAGAGTAACGGAGGCATGGAGCAGAAGTTTAGTCGTTGAAGATCCATACGCACAGCCAGGAACAATCGAAAACGCTATGGACGCACCAAACAAAAGCTACACGGGATATTTCAACGTGGCAAGGCTAGGACAAAACAGAGTCCACACAGTCAACTCACAAGGACACACACAAGAACATGAGATCTACGATACCACCAAAATCTCTCCCAGCTTCCACACAACACCCATGATCTCAGCGCAAGGCACGATAGCAATCGCAACCAACAACGCAGAGGTAACATCACCAGTCCGAACGATCAGACCTTGGGAAGCCCTCAGCCTGTTTGGTTTCACAAAAGAGGACAGCAGAAAACTGTTGTTTGAGGAGAAACTCAGTTGGAGAGAGACAAAAGAGACAATGAAGAGCATGGCACCACAACAGGTGTGGCAGCAGTGTTCACTTACAGCATGTGCAAAAATATTCAGCGACAACACCTATCAGACAAAACGGAACACAAATTCTTGACAATGTACGCAAGACCAAAACAGGCTAGGAAACACCTAACAGCGATAGTCAGCAGATCCATCACCCATTCACAACGCTACCGATCCCAACAGGAGAAGACTGACGAGAGAAATGCAACGGAGACCCAGACATCATCCACATCATCAAGGCAATCCGCAACAACAAAAAGGTAGACAGATCAAAGCTCATAAACCCAACGTATGCCTCAGAACTCAACAGAGATAAGCTAGAGATTGAAAACGGCATCCTATACCAATTCGAAGAACCGAAGTCGGCACCAATGCGTCAACTACGACGAGCGGTCGTCCCACCAAGATTGAGAGCCACAATCATAGCAGCATACCACGCATCACCAATGGCAGGACACGTAGGGTTCCACAAGACGTATTACAGGATAGCCGCAAGGTTTTGGTGGCCCGGGATGGCAAAGGATATCAGAGAAGCAGTCCTAGGATGCGGACATTGCAATGCAGCCAACGCGTCGAGCCACAAAAACCAAAAGATTCTACAACGGACCCCGATAGAAGAACCATTTGACGTATGTTGCATGGACGTTTGGTCGCCAGGATCAACAAAGAACGCTAACAAACTGTCCACAACTTTGAGGAAGACACTCACCAACAAAGGAGTAGTCACTTACGTTTGCAACATGACAGGTTGCGCCACGGTCGCTTTCATCAGCTCCATGGACTCAGGGAACATGGCCAGAATAGCATTCTCGCAATTCTTCACCGTCAGAGGCCTGCCACGATTGATCCTCATTGACGAAGGCAGCGAAAACAAAGATCAATTTACAGCCCTATGCGACACAATTGGAATCGCATACACGGTCAGTCCGGAAAGCCACGACGGAATACTATGTGAAGGATTCCACAAATACCTCAACAAGAATGGGCAATGAACACCATGTTTGGAACATACGCATGGAACGCAGCCACAGCAGATGGCACGGATATCCAACGAGCATTTGCAGCAGTGGCACGACACTTCAAATTCCCACTAGACAACGCAGCAGCGGCATTGTCAATATCGGAGGCGCGTCAGAAAAACAGGACATGACACCAGCAAGCGCCAGGACAGAACACATTAGAGCACATCAAAACAATGTTCCCACTCTTCTGGAGACAAAAGGAACTGCTTAAACTTCTCAATGAGGAACAAAGGGAACACCACCGAATGCTCAAGAATCAAACCAGAACGCGACGGAAATTTGAAATTGGAGACATTGTCATGGTACGGAAACAAGTACAATCAAACGCCTCTGCAGGAATACCAGCAAAACTGGTGCTAATGACAAAAGGACCCTATAGAGTCATCGAGAAAGCGCCAGAAGACTCGTACAGACTACAAAAGATCCCAGGGACAAGCACCATGCTGAAGAAGCGAGGATCGACCCCAATCAAAGAATCAGCATTCAGAATGCACAAGATGCCATCGAGGATAATACTACACAAACAAGTGGACACACCAGATACAAGACTAGCAAACATGAGGAGCCCGCTAGCACACAGCCCCCTAGAAATGAATCTAGGACTGGTTGATTTCGGTAAATACGCGACAACACCGACACACACAGAAAACGCATTTGAGCCAATCAAAGACATTTGGGACAAAGAAGTTGAGCCAACGGAAGATTCATCAGACAAAGAAGAAGACGACACCCCTACACCATCCATACTGGACGCTATCCAACGCACGCAGCCTCGGCCGATTAACAGAGACGTACCACCAACAGATACAGAAGGCGCCAACCAAACCAGACAGGTCCATACCACAGAAACCATCACAGAAGAACTCAATCTACAGAGCTTATACAAACGAACCACACAATCCAAGGACAAATTATACGTCATAGCCCATCAAGACGACACATCAGGGTGGAACAACTGGTACGTGATACAAATCGACATGGAGGAGACCAACGAGAAACTAGCAAGAACAAAAGGACAGTATCACTGCAAGTGGTACATACCAAAACCCACCACTACAAAGCAAGGCTCCCCAATGACCAGCCCCTTTTGGCCCCTAATCAAAGCATTCACCGATGAGACAACATCCGGCCCAACAGTACCCATCAGACCCAGCAAAGTAGACCAGGTGCTAAACAAGAGCCCGCACAAATACGCCTGGTACCAGAAAGAGGTCAACATCGTTGAAGACGGCGTATACGGACCATTTGACTTTGAACGAGACTACAAAATACCGGACGTGGTGTGGGAAAAAGTGAGAGAGGCGGCAACACAGATGAAACTAAAAGTTGCCAACATCACGCCCAAGTCAACACCACCAGGTAGAGTACACAAACGAGCGCGACACAAATGATAAACACAGCTAACAAGAACAAAAGAATAGACCCAAAACAAACCAAGCCTACAGGCAGTATAGTACACCTTGAAAGCCCCAACGCTGGCTGACCCAAAGATGACCCACGATAGCCCCTAGATAGCCCCCAACAAGTTGACCCAAGCCCCAGACCCAAAAGTTACAACGATCTGTCGCAGCAGACCATAGTACAAGTTGACCCAACAAAAAGCCGCCATCAACAAACTACTGCATGTCGCAGCATGCAGTACAAGTCATGACTGGCAGAGTAGCAGGAACACGAAGCCCCAAAGACGAAGGACCAGATAGAGCAACCCCCTTCCCCCCCCCCCAAAATACGTGTGTACAACAACTAAGATGAGGACTGATCCTCCCGTTCTGACCGTCGTACCGCAAAGCACCTAGTCAAACTTTGGACCTGGACGCAACTGCCAGACACTTGAAGCCGCTTGCCAGCAACCTGGACGTTGGAGAGAATCCTGCAGCCCGATTTGCAATTGAGGGTTAGATGGCGATTTTTCTTCGGATACCTTGTTGTTCGGTGCTAGCAGCCATTCATCAAGAAGAGGGAGGTGAAAACAGACCAAGATGAGACTTTACAACAGAGTCGCCTAAATAGAAGAAGAGGGGACGTAATGTGACTGACTGGACTGCCGAGTCCCGAGCAGATGTATTAGAGCGATCGAAGGCCAACGGTCATCGCCGAATATTCGGCCCAAGATCAATCATTCATCATCTACTCACAGCTGCTTCAGACCCCCGTAAATACACCCCAATAGCAATATCAATCACCGTCTATCATGTCCAACAGTAGCTACATCAATGCACTAGTACGCTCTC